ATCATAAGCAGCAACCTTAAACCAAGACAGCAATGCCTAAGTGTACTTAATAAAGCAAAGAGATTACTGGGATTTGTATCTAGAAGTGTAAGCAGCAGAAGTCCAGCAGTTATTTTACAGCTTTATACATCATTAGTAAGGCCCCACCTAGATTATGCAGCTCAATTCTGGTCTCCCTATTACAGAATGGATATAAATTCGTTAGAAAACATTCAGCATAAATGACTAAATTAATACATAACATTAGAAATCTTCCATATGAAGAAAGATTGAAGACTCTTAAACTACATTCACTTGTAAGATGAAGAATGAGGGGAGGCATGATAGAAGTGTATAAGTGGAAGATGGGTATTAACAAAGGGGATATAAATAAGGTTTTGAGGATATCCCTCCGAGGGAGAACCCGCAATAATGGATTCAAATTAGACAAGTTTAGATTTCGAAAGGATATAGGAAAGTACTAGTTTGGTAGTAAGGTAGTTGATGAGTGGAATGGTCTGCCTTGTGGGGTTATCGAAGCTAAAATCTTGTGTAGTTTCAAATTTAGGTTGGATAAATACACGAGTGCGAGGGGATAGATTTGAGTAGGACTTGCATCCGAGTAAATAGAATTATCAAAGCTTATTGCTTGGGTAGCATTTATTCTGTTAGTGGGTTGGATTTGTGAAGGACCTGCCTAGTATGGGCCAAAAGGCCTATTGCAATGTTCCTCCTTTCTTATGTTCTTATGAACTGAGTTTGTCTAAATTCTCCTAGAGTTCCGTGACATCTATGTTTGAATCAATTATCCTACCTAACTTTGTGTCATCGGCGAATTTGCTCATATCACTAGTACAGTGGACCCCCGGTATTCGATATTAATCCGTTCCTGAGAGCTCATCGAATACCGATAATATCGAAAACCGAATCAATTTTTCTCATAAGAAATAATGGAAATCAAATTAATCCGTGCAAGACACCCAAAAGTATGAAAAAAAAATTTTACTACATGAAATATCAAGTTTAATGCAATAGAATAATTACAATAACAATAAAACAATTGACACTTGCCTTTAATGAAGATCTGGTGATGATTGATGGGATGGGAGGAGGGGAGAGGTGTTAGTGTTTAGAAGGGGAATCCCCTTCCATTAGGACTTGAGGTAGCAAGTCCTTTTCCAGGGTTACTTCCCTTCTTCTTTTAATGCCACTAGGACCAGCTTCAGAGTCACTGGATTTCTGTCGCACAACATATCTGTCCACAGTGGCCTGTACCTCCCATTCCTTTATGACATTCCTAAAGTGTTTCACAACATTGTTAGTGTAATAGTCACCAGCACGGCTTGCAATAGCTGTGTGAGGGTGATTATCATCAAAAAAGGTTTGCACTTTAAGCCACATTGCACACATTTCCTTAATCTTTGAAGTAGGCAACTTCTTCAATTTCTCTATCCCCTCCTCCGAAGCAGTTTCCTCAAGTGTGGCCTCTTGCTGTTGAAGATGATCTATCAGCTCATCAGTGGTTAGTTTTTTCACTGTCCTCCCTCCACCAACTCTTCCACATCCTCCCCACAACCTCCAACCCCAAGGACTTCCCAATGCCACAATGGATTTCCTCAACTGGCATAGGATTCTCAGGGTTAGCCTCAAATCCTTCAAAATCCCTTTTGTCTACACATTCTGACCACAGTTTTTTCCAAGCAGAGTTCAAGGTCCTCTTAGTCACTCCCTCCCAAGCCGTACCTATAAGGTTCATACAATTGAGGATATTAAAGTGATCCTTCCAAAACTCTTTTAGAGTCAGTTGAGTTTCTGTGGTCACTATAAAGCACTTTTGAAACATAGCTTTTGTGTACAGTTTCTTGAAGCTGGAAATGACCTGCTGGTCCATGGGCTGCAGGAGAGGAGTGGTATTAGGAGGTAAAAACTTGACCTTTAAGAAGCTCATGTCCCCAGAAAGTCGCTCTGCCAAGTCTGTAGGATGACCAGGGGCATTGTCTAATACCAGGAGGCACTTAAGGGGCTAATTTCTTTTCAGTTAGGGAATTTTTCACAGTGGGCCCAAAAGCTTGGTGATACCATCATAGAAAAAAATCCCTAGTACCCATGCCTTACTGTTTAAACCCCCCACAGCACATACAAATTAGCCTTGAGGACATTGTTTTTCCTGAACACTCTGGGAGTTTCAGAGTGATACACCAATAAAGGCTTCACTTTCGCAATCACCACTAGCATTGGCACACATGAGAAGAGTAAGCCTGTCTTTCATAGGCTTTATGTCCCGGGAGTGCCTTTTCCTCCTGATAATGTAGGTCCTGCTTGGCATTTTCTTCCAAAACAGGCCTGTTTTCGTCGCAATTAAACCTTTGTTCAGGTTTCAGTCCTTCACTGGCTATTACTCCTTGAGTTCCTTCACATATTTTTTTGCTGCTTTTTGGTCCGAACTGGCAGCCTACATGCCTAATCACACTATGTATGCCACTAAAGATTCTTTAAAACTTTCAAAAACCAACCTTTGCTGGCCTTAAATTCACTCACATCACCACTAGTTGCAGGAATTTTTACCAAATCGCATGCAACTGCCTAGCCTTTTTTACAAATGATCGCTTGAGGATGCTATCTCCTGCTATCTGTTTTTCATTTATCTGCACCAATAACAATCTCTCAACATTTTCTAACACATTGCGGTCGCTGTTTCGTAATCACAGTTGCACCTTTTTGCAAGAACACTTTCCCTTTATTGCCGTTTCCCCGGTCACTATATTAGAGATGGTTAATTGGGGTTTATTTTTACAACCTAACCAGCTCCGACACACGCACTCCACTTTCGTACTTTGCAATTATCTCTTTCTTCATTTCATAAGTCATTAGCGACTTTTTTCTTGAAGGGTTGGCACTAGAAGCTTTCTTGGGGCCCATGGTGACTTATTTGCAGAAACAAGCACCAAACACAGTGATAATATGGATAATATGGAATGTACCCGAATGTATCCTTAGATGTGCGCAACACCGGCTGGCTTGTAAACACTGGCACACACGGGGCAGTTCAGGCCATACGTGGACACGTCTCGCACAAATCGTATCGAATACCGGGTTTTCAATTGAATACCAAGGAAAATTTTTTGCGATATAATGCATCGAATACCGGATTTATCGAATACCATTGCCATCGAATACCGGGGGTCCACTGTAATTCCCTCATCAAAGTCATTGATATACATGTATATTAGAAACAACAATGGGCCTAAGACTGATCCCTGTGGAATGCCATTTGTTACAGATCCCCACTCGGATTTAATCCCATTGACTCAATCCATGACAACACTTTTCCTCCAATACATGTATGTATTTTACGATGTTTTCATGTGTTTTATGATTGTTCAAGGTTCAATAGGTTAAGGAAGCAGTATTTTATTATATTTCCCTACAATATATTGGGGCACCAAACATTTGCAATTTTTCAACATTCACGAGCGTCTTGATCCCCTAACCCTCGCGAATGTTGAGGGAGACCTGTATACAACATATGTCAGACTAAAATTGTAATATACAGCAGGTGTATAGTGGTGTCATTTCAGGGGGGAAAATGAAGAGGGAAGAAATAGTGCCTACACCTATATAAAAAAAAGTTAGAAAAGGTCTAAAGAAGAGCTAAAGAATGGCTACTAGAGTTAAAAAAAATATGAGCTATAAGGAAAGGCCACACCACTGGACATGCAAACACTGGCTGACAGGAGGAAAGGAGGACACTTGATAATTAAAAATAGTCATAAAAAGGCATGAAAGAATAGGTAAAAAAGATTTCTTAATCCTGAACAATTTAACTCAACTGAAATTCACTTTTAAATAAAAAAAAGTGGTATATACTGGTACAGTACTGGAGTCTATATACCTTTGACAAGGCTCGAGAGTCTTTCTACTACCAGAGCCCAGCCATGGGCCAGGCTCATCTGATGCCAGCCTGGTCGACCAGGCTGTTGCTGCTGGAGGCCCACTGCCACACATTTCCATCACAGCCTGGTTGATCTGGCACCTGGTGAAGATTCTTGTCTAATTTCCTCTTGAAGACTTCTACACCTGTTCCAGCAGTGTTTCCGATATCTTTTGGTAAGATGTTGAATAATCTGGACCCACTGATGTTGATACAATGTTATTGTGCCCACCACACCCCTGCTTTTCACTTGGTTTATTTTGCACTTCTTCCCATACCTCTCACTCCAGTATGTTGTTATGGCAGTGTGCAGATTTGGGACCAGGCTTTCGAGTACTTTCCAGGGATACATTATCATGTATCTCTCTCTCTCTTCCGCTCCAGTGAGTACATATTTAAGACTTTAAGGCGTTTCCAGTAATTTAAATGCTTTACTGGCTTTATGCAGGCTGTAAAAAGTATTTGTATTTGTTCCAGCTCTGATATTTCTCCTGCCTTGAGCAGGCCATCAACTCTTGAGTAATATTCCAAATGAGGGAGCACTAGCAATTCAAAAAGTGTCACTAATGTCATCATTTCCCTTGTTTCGAAGGTTCTCATTGCCCACCCCATCATCCTTCTGGCTTCCATGACATTTGTCTTATTGTGTTCTTTGAAAGAAAGGTCAGTTGACATAATTATTCCCAAGTCTTTCATGTGTTCCTTTCATTCTATTTGACGATCCTCTTGAGTTTTGTATACAGTATTCCCTATGAATACTTCATTCTTTCCATAAGAGATAAGCAGCTGGAACTTATCACCACTGAACATCATGTTATTCTCCACACTGCCCGCTGGAAAACACTTCTTAAAGCTTCCTGTAATTTAACAGTGTCTTCTACCAAACTGACATTCATGCATATTTTAGTGTAATTTGCAAATGATACAAAATTCTGATGGGTGTCTTTATCTATGTCTGCTATGAGGATTAGAAACACATTGATATAAAGCAATTCTGATAAATTATGAATTCTTTAAAAAAAAAAAAAAAAAAAACTATTAGAATATAGTACAGCAAATAAGAAGGAAACAAACAAAATCACAGCCAAACCTGACTCATCCTCTTCTTGATTGTGTTGAGGCATCCGCGAATTTCCAAGTGTAAAATATGAGAGCGTCAACCCAACACCAGCACAACAGACCACCACCAGAATGGGGTCAAACATGCCGTCTCACTCCACCACCCTGACAAATAATAATTAATAGTAATGTTTACAAAATGGACATTATTCAAATTTTTTGAATAACCTCAGAGTAATAAATCTATACAATACAGCATATAGTTCTATACAGATTCACAGGTTCTATCAGCAATTTCGTATATGCAATATACAGTATATTCACCAAATGCATTTGGTATGGTTAGTAAAACATACTGAAGATTTTTATGTGGAAATAAATGTTTTGTACCTAATTGAGCTTAGAACACCTGCCATTGACCAAGAATATATGAACAGCATAAAACATGGGACACCACTTGTCACATCAATGATGTGTAGAATACTGACTTCTGCATCATTCTTATATACTGATTTTGATGAAATATAGATAATCTACAGTCAGGATAACTGAGTGTGTAGTTGATAAGCATACAGGCAAGTAATCATTCCACCATTTTTGTTACATCTGGGGCTAGATCATATGCATGGAACAACTGTGCAATAGTGAAATATACACTACAGATCCATAATTTTTTTTTTTTCAAATATGCTTCTCCATTAGTTTTACCTCCACAAAATTTAAGAATTTTGTAAGCTTCTAAATTTAAAGAAGCAGTACGTGCCACAATAGTGTTTTGGAAGCTACTGATACTACTGTCAACATTCCTGCTTTAACCCTTAAACTGTCCAAACGTAGATCTACGTTTTTTCAACATTTGAAAGTATGTAAAAAAACGTAGAGCTTCTTTTTCTTTTTTTACATTTGAAAACTTGTAAAAAACTTTGATCTACATTTTTTTTTTTGTTATACATGTATTTGAAAATGTGTTAAAAAACATAGATCTACTTTTGGAGCACGACGCATGTGAACGTAGATCTGTTTGGACAGTTTAAGGGTTAAATACAAGCTTAGCTCTGCTTAAGTAGCCATAAAAAGATAATCACATAGGTAATCACCCCCTCACTGACCCATGTTTCATTGACAATGTATACAAATACACACACACAACATCCGGAGTGCATTTCAAATTTATTACTGAAAAGTGTCTTCTCCAGAAAGTAAAGTCACACCTGGTGAGCACATTGGTGACCATTATATGCAAGACACCTCTTATAAAATTTGCACCAAGAGCATTAAGCCCTAATAGTAATACTGTACAGGTGTGAGCAACATCAAAGCTTCACTTGTGTCCTTAAACTGATGAGGAATTAACTGGCAAATACATTAACAGAGAAAATAAATACAGTATTAGTAACCAAAAACACTACCATTCTGGAAATATTTTTATGTCATATAATAACCTGACAAATGAATATTTTAAAGTTGCATAGCTAATACTACAGTGGTACCTCGGGATACGAACGGCTCAAAACTCGAACAATTATGTAAGTACACTTATGTAAGTGCTTTTGTAAGTGCATTTTTGGGGTCTGAAACGGATTAATCTAATTTACGTTCCTTATTTTTTCCCTCTTGTTCATAGTCACATTTGTTAAAATAATTAAGGTGCTAACTCAGGTGCTACTGTACTTTACTTTCTTTCATTTATTATTATATTCACCAGCTCCTTTATTTTAGCTTTATATAGTTCATATATTCACATTTCTTAAAATAACTAAGGCCTAATTCAGATGCTAAAGTGTATAATTTCATTGTTTTACTATAATAATCCCTAGCTCTTTTATTCTGTTTTAGTTCTAGAATATTTACATATTCTAGTTTTAGTTTTAGAATATTTACATAGTCTTATTCCTAAGTCTAGTTATAGATTCACTATAAATCTTACAATATTTTACTCAATAATCTAGTTGTAGAGTCACTCTCATTTTTAACGCTACAGGCATTGATCTTGATGTAAACTTTTTACTAAACGAATTACACAAATCAAACAGCAACTGTAATTATTATACAGCAGACCAAGCAAAGACATTACTCAGAGCAAACAATAACATAACTATCTTTAATTACAATGTCAGATCCTTGACCAAACATTATGATGACCTCACAGCATTACTCAATTCCCTTCATTCCAGTTTGTCAATCACCACACTCACAGAAACCTGGCTAAAGCCTGATATCACAGATGTCTATGCCATTCCTGGTTACATGGCCATACACAACTGTAGGACAGACCAGCAAGGGGTGGAACAGCTATATACTACTCAAATTAACTCGACTGTATCAAAAAATCTTGCACAAGGGATGAGCACGGTGAATATATCATAGCAAAATTTAAATCAAAAGACCTGCAAAAACCCCTCACAGTTTACCTGGAGTTTACCTGGAAAGAGTTCCAGGGGTCAACGCCCCCATGGCCCAGTCTGTGACCAGGCCTCATGGTGGATCAGGGCCTGATCAACCAGGCTGTTACTGCTGGCTGCACGCAATCCAATGCACGAGCCACAGCCCGGCTGGTCAGGTACAGACTTTAGGTGCTTGTCCAGTGCCTGCTTGAAGACAGACAGGAGTCTATTGGTAATCCCCCTTATGTATGCTTGGAGGCAGTTGAACAGTCTTGGGCCCCTGACACTTATTGTGTTGTCTCTTAACGTGCTAGTAAATAAACATCTACAGAGTACCATAGCTAAATATTTACCACCTTAGTGAAAAATTAGGAAACATGATAACTGATGCGCATATGAACAAAGACCACCTGCTGTTAACAGGAGATTTCAACATAAATCTACTACATGACCAGGACCCACCAGTAACCAAATTCACAAACACTATGAGCAACTGCCTGTTGCTACCAACAATATCTAAACCTACAAGAATCTCTGAGACTAGTATCTCTAATAGACCACATCTGGATTAACACCATATCCCTTTGAACCCTTTCAGGGTTGACAGGCCCTCTCCTAAACTTGTTCTCAGGGTTGGAAAAAAAAAGAATCTTATGAAATGATAGAGAATCTTTTCCCGATCATAATGACACCAAAAGTATAAAATTTGATGGAAAACTTACGGAATTATGCTCTCGCGAAGTTAGCAGTCTCAATGATGTTTACGAATCGGTGGTTTCGGCCACTTTGAGCCCTATTTTCGGCCAATTCCAATGTACCAGTCGACAAAAATCATAACGATTTTGCTAGAAGTCCATTTTTTCTATCAAATGAGTACAAGAAATCACCCATTTACCGATTTCAAGTATCCAATAAAGTGGTCAGAAATTGGCAATTTTTTTCCAATTTCACACAAATTTCAAAAGATGCCAGTTTCCAAATAGGGTCCAGAATAAACAAGACAGACATTTCTGGCACTAAAGTAACATTTTTCTGTTCATTAGTCACGTCCCCAGGCCTCCCTTACATTTCTTTTGCTTTCCACTTTGAATTTTTATTCTCACAAAAACTAGAAGATTTACTGTTATGCAGACTACTGCATTAGTGTAGAAATGGTATAAATAATATCAGCGCACTTGTGAAAGAATATTAGACTCACCAGTTGACATGTATTGGACGTGTGGTATGATTTGTTTACTTTTGAACTTTGGCAAAAATCAAACATGTTTGCTACTTTGAGCTCAATTTCTAGGTATTTTTCATTGTAAAACCAATCAATATCTTCTCAATTTCTGTAACATGTCTTCCATTCTATAAAATGAGACCAGGAAAACTAGAATACAACCATAAATAGCATACAAAAATACACTGCAAAGTCGCTGTTTTAAAGCAAAAACACAGTCGGAGTTTTTTTTTTTCCTCTCATTATGCACTGTGTGCTGCAGGATTTTTTTTCTACTGTGCACACTGACCATATAGACCCATTCTTTCATATGTAGGCCTACCAGCTTTCTCTTGCTAGATTTGAAGGCGCTAGAATTTATACGTACTAGTACGGCACCAACCCTGAAAGGGTTAAAATTAGGCATAATCACAGACAACACCACAGACCACTATTCAACCTTTCTCATAACCAATCTAGGTAAATTGCCCCAAGACATGACTAAAGTTACCTTCAAACTACATAACGAGACAGCTGTTAACAACTTTATAGCAGCTATGAATAACATTGACTGGTATGAGCTCAAAACATATACAGATATGAATGAATGTATAAATAATTTTCTAAAAAAAAAAAAGCCCATTACCTCTATAGCAAACACTGCCATAAAAAACTAAACAGATCACAGCTAAGAGACTTAATAGTCCCTGGCTAACACCCAGTATCCTTAAAGCCATAAGGGAGGTGTGAGTTGAAACATATCGATTTCTTAATTTTCAACCGATTGCGTTCATTTTTGGTGTACTATTAGAAGCTTATATCGAGAATCCTGTGCTGAAGTTTCAAGCATATATCGGCCAAAAAGGAAATAAAATATGCAAAATTTATGAGAAATTGCATTTGGCAGCGGAGCTGTACTCAGCGGTACTTGGAAAAGTGGTTTTGACACTTGCTGCTGATAGAACACCTCTAATTCCATCAACGTACATGTACCAATTCTAAAATAAACCTTATATTCATGCTAAAAAAAAATAAAGTTTCATAACTTTTTTGACATGTTGGAAGAGTTCGGTCTTGTTGCCCACATAAATCTAAAAATATTTGGAATAGTTCAGAAAGGTACACTTTACCTTGTAAAGCAATCATTCTTCTATGTTTGTTGTGAAAATCAAGTCAATTCATTCATAAATAAAGATGGATTGCCCCTAAATAGGTAAATAACTTACTTTTGACATATAGGCCGAAGCGCGCAGCACCCCAGGTGCGCGGGAAATATTTTTTTTCCCCGAAAAATTTGCTTTATTTTACACTTTTTCCGTGACCTACGAGTGTTTATTACAGTTAACCATTGTAACTCCGTTTTCTCTCATCACTTATGAGAGAACGGACCCTTCCTTCACCTTCAGGGAATATATCGATAGAAATTTGTTCCTCTCGGGCATCATATTATGCTATATATTACTTTTTAAGGTGTGCTTTTTATGTTTATATGCTATTATTATATTGCATTATGTCATAATAGATCAATTGTGATAGATAAATAAGCCTTATAATTGATATTAGCGTGGGTATGGAATATT